AGAATTTTTTTTTTCTTTTTCTTTCTTTCTTTTTTTTTTTTTATCCCTCGTGAAACATAAAATGTTTCCACTTTTCAGTCGCGAGTAATTTATAATGAATTTCGCGTAACGTGTTTAACAGCGTGATTCATAGACTTCAAAGAGACTGCGACTAATAATTTTCGATAGAAACGTAGAACTAAAAATATAAGGTCTTGAAATTATTATCGCCAACGTATATAAATTTTACAATAAGTAATGTAAGAGAAAAAAAATTCAAACTGTCCAACTAATAATAATAACAATAATAATAATAATAATAATAATAATAATAATAATAATAATAATAATAATAATAAAAAGCCAAGCCAAATATAATACTAAGAGATAGCGATTCGAGACACGACTCCTCCACTTTCCACACCTGTCTCTCCTTTCACCGACGAAGAACGCCTTTATCCTCTAACCGTGAATTCTTTCACGCTCCATTGGTATTCGATGTTTCACCTCCGAATGCCTGCCGACTCGCGATATTTGCTCTCCGCGTTAACACTTATATTCGCATAAAATTAGACACGGCCATTTTATGCCACGACTCGATGAGGCTCGGATAATACTCGGACGTTACAACGGGCACACGATTTTCACGTACGACATTAGACCGAGATATCTCTACTCCCCATTACGGTACTACTCGTGGCATGGCATTGCAATCGCTACACCAACGGACTCGCTTTCATCCAAAATGCATCGCGAAACCGTCTCAATTAAACGATCAATCCGTGTTTTCATCACGGAACGTAACCGTATATATATCCATCGGTGTGTTTTTGTAACCGGATCCCTGTCGCCAATTAATTCGAGCCGGGGATATACGTGCATCTGCATACATAATTTTGGCCGCAATACATCAAAATCAAGCGAAGATTAATCGAGATGCACACTGTCAGGGACAGCAGGTGGCCATACGTGTACACCGATCGATCGCTACGGTAGATCGATTCGTTGGTTGCGATTCCGTGAGTGAGCAGAGAAAGAAAAAAAAAAATTTTCAGGCTTGGAAAGGACGTGAATCGGTGCCTCTCTCGCGAACGTCGCTTCGTAAGGGCGCATGTACAATTTACAAAATATTGACGTTCGAAGGGATGAGCGAGACCGACGCGTATTGCCCTCGAGTTGATTTTGTCGGTGGAAATTATGCGAAGAAATTAAATTAAATTAACGCCGTTATTTCTTTATTTCTGTCAGAAATCTATTTGGAAAACGCGTACGAAATTGAAATTCTTTGAGAAAAATTACAATTTTTTTCAGACGAATTCATCTAGAATTCTTTCAATCGAAAGTAATTTTGCAACTTTTTTTTATATTAACGTGGATTATTTTCAATTGAATTGGAGATTGTTGAAAATTTGAATGGATCTGCCAGGATAAAACATTCTAAACTGCATCACGTTCTTTAAATTGATAGAGAAAGGGTCTCGAGTTTCTATATCCTCGGAGAAAAATAAGAATCCGTTGACCAACATTTCCACTTGCAAAACACAACAATTAAATATTTCAAAATCATTTACAATCATTTCAAAGATATATACATATATACAACCTACATCTTCACATTTGGATAAACATCTCGCAAAATAGAGACTATAAAATAAACATCCCCCCGAACGAATCTCACCGAATCTCCAAACCTCCTCTCCAAATTATTATATCAAAAGCAACGTTTCCATCCCCTTCTCGAGCATGGGCGAAACCATAGGTTAATCGAATTCTCATCGAATTCTGGCTCCCATTTCCGCGCGATATCCGGTGTCCTGGCAGATCCTGGAGCAATCTAGGGGTCGCGGGCACGCATTAGAGATACCGCGTGAGAATCACAGCGGAATTAATCGAGTCATAATTCCTAGGTCGGCCGACTGTGTATCGCCGACTGTGGACAATGGGGCTGCGTGCGTGCACCCACCCAGATATGCACAGTTCGACGGAGAGAGAGTGAGAGAGGGAGAGAGAGTGAGAGAGGGAAAGAGAGAGAGATATGGGTTCATCGATATGTAAACGCGCGCGCGCACACGCGCGTACGTGCAGAAATGCATACGCACACCGCCGTTGTCGCGCGTACGCGAGCGCTTCCGCGCATACGGACGATGCTCTCCCTCCCTCCCTCCAAATCCCTTTGTTTCTCTCTCTCTCTCTCTCTCTCTCTCTCTCTCTCTCTCTCTCTCTCTCTCTCTCTCCTGCTCCTGATCGCGGAAATTTACGAGCACGGTGAACCCGATATGACGAGCGAGTTCGAGTCAGAAGCGGTATTTTCTCGCGGATTCGATCGACACGCCCTTAACCGCCGACTTTATTTTTCCGTCTATTGCACTATTATTTATCGACAACGCGTCGAGAAAAGTCGAGAGAATCGTGGTTTTTTCGTGGAAAATTTTGTCCCATTCGATTAAAATTTTATATATTTGGTTTTGTTGGGAATACGGGGGTGGTACGGTGATGGAGGTCGGCTGAGGTTTTTTTTTTTGCGATATTGTTAAGTTTGGAGGAAAGTGATTGGAAAGATTGTCGTGAAAAAATATTAAAAAAACGAGGAAATGATGGAGGGGATGGTTAGTTTTACCATTTAGATTTTACAATTTCTTCTCGCCGTATAATTACCGTTCTTTTTTATATCGCGTGTCTTTTTTCTTCTTTTTTTTTTCTCGATAATTGAGAAATTTAAAAGAAATAATCTCGATAACGAGGACAAAGAGTAATTTGCATTTGACAGTTTTTATAAATATTCGATCAACCGTATGGTTCGGATAAATTGATAAATAAAATCGTTTTTAATAATACCGTCATTTTTACCGTTATTATCATCTCGTTACATCGCTTATACCCTGTCCAGAGTAACAATGGGCAAATAATCCGCTATTTGCATCTGGAGCAGAATAAAAAAAAAAAAAAAAAAAGAAAGGAAGAAATAAACGAGAGTTGCGAAACAAGCTGCACGCCATTAGTTCCATGAAAATCCTTTTCTTCTTTTTTTTTTTTTTTCTCCCCGATCCCTCTTCCCCCCTCGTTGCGATAATACATAACATGGTTTTAATTACTGTTTGCTTGGGCTGCCAGCATTCCCAGATTTATCGCGATACACATTGTCCGTAAATCGATCAATTATTCACGAACAATGCAAGAATACGACGTTAATTGCGACTCCCATCGGAATAACATGTCATGGGATGAATTCACGGCCGACGGAATCGCTAACCAGTAATGGAGGAGTCCGTTTAAAAAACGGCCGATAAAAGAATACGAAAGCAATTTATCGAACGTCTGGTGATGACAGCCCGCGAGAGTTAATTGAGCTCGAATTGGATACATAGAGTCCACCACCACGGAACCATCGTTAATGTCGTCTCGTGGCCAACCTTTTCGAAAAACTCTCTTATTAATCCGATCCATTAAAACGCCCATCGATGCAGTCTTAACGCGCCGCGAAATTCGCGAAACGCAATTTTTTCTTCCTTCGCTTCGAGATTCTTCGTTTTCTTCGGACGTTTCTAATGGATATCGATAGACCTACTGCAATACAGATACACGCGGCGAACAATTAAAAGAATTCAGTGTGAAATTTCTTATTGGCACTGCGAAAAATCGATTAACAGCGACACGATTGCCACGTTGAATGGACGCCAGTGAAAATTAATTTACAACGTCCTTGAAACGAAAGGCGAGGAGAGGGGAGGGGAGGGGAAAAAAAGTCGAAAACGAAACCTCGTTAAGAGAGAGCCTCGAGTCGCGCGTACTAGCACGCGTGCTACAATTTATTGCATCTTTCTTGCGCGTTAAAGCGTACTATGAACCGCATACCTAATGCTCGGTTCCCAGCTCGGTTGGATCATAAATCGTGCGAGTCTCTCCCTCTCCTCCCCACCAGTTTCTTACGCGGAGTCTCGAGATCGTGCACCACGACGACGACGAGCCAACGACTTCCACGCGATACTACCCGCTAGCTACCCTCTCGACGATAATTTCCGTTACTCTTAATTCTCGTTCCCTTCCACCCAACCATTTCGCGTATCTCTGCCAAATTCTTTCCACCTGAATTTTTGAATGGATCGCTTTCTTTTGCAAAAGGAACAACAATTTTACAAGGATCCGTTATCGACTCTCATTCTACGTAAAATCGTTACATCCATTTCGAGACGAATCGACGAGTTAGATGAAAGGCAATCCAAATAGCCACGTAGACATTTTATCCGTTGGATCAGAGATAATTAGAGACGTAGAAGGAACAGGAGAACAAGCTGGCAACTATTTTCTATTTTCGCTGCATCGCCGATCATAACACGGCCTGTTTACATGCTTGGTCGAAATTCGCCGAGGGCGAAAATTTGCGAAGTCGGGAATCGCCGGTGTAGGCGAGATTATGGAAGCGGCAAATGGAATACCGTAGCAACGAAACACCATTGGAAACGAGTGAAAGAGGCTTTCCCCTCGTAATGGTGATTCGGTGTATACGCGATCGAGATAAAGAGGAAATCGAACGTATCTCGGTTAATTCCGACTTGTAATTATTGGAAGAACCACTGACTCGACACGCGGAGCACAATATATATATATATATACAAACGAACGGCAAATGTAATTATTGGTTTGCTGTCAACCGTATCTCTCCAATGAAGCTTATCTCGGATCGAATTAAAACGGTCTGGTTACCACTATCGAAACGCGATCGCGATATTTATGAAACGATTCCCAATGACATGGTCGATCCGCCAAAATCCTGGCTGCGCTGGGGTCGGATTCGAATCACGATCGAGATGTTGGAATCGATAAGACTAAGCGTAGCGAAGCTCACTTTCAACTGCTGACTCGCGATTCAATTTACTTTATCGCCGCGTACCAGACGTGTGACAGATTGTTCGGAGACAAAACGGAGGGGGGATCGGAAACGAGCGATTAAACGCGTAAAACATTAACTAACCGCGTAAGTAAAGAGCGAAGAAGGCAATAAAAGTCGTTTTGTCATCACTCACCGCTTTCGCTAACTCGTAATCTCCCTTCCTGAGCAGCTCCATCAGCCTCTGCCGCTCCATCTCCTCTTTCGTCACGTACACCTTGCTCTCCTTATACCTCGCGTTCTGCACGTTCTCGTAATTGTCGCACAAAACGTTGTGGTACCCCATTGATCTCTGCTGACCGACACGCTCGATGATCTTTCCAAACGTGTCACTACAACCACCACCACCACTACCACCATCACCACCACCACCACCACCATTACCATTACCACCAACAACAACAACCACATGCTCCACCGAATCCTTGGGCAAATCTTGCTCGAACTGAAGATTCTTCACCAACACTTCGTTCACCACAGACCCGCGCTCCTCCATTTCCCTCGAGCTCGCCCTCTCCTTCTCGCTCTCCCATCTATCGACCTTCTGGCAACCGACCTCCTTGGCATCCTCCTTTTGAAATCTTGCCTCCATTGTTCGATGATCGGACATTCGATCGTTCGATCGAAGACACGCGTCTTCGACCTTGAACTTTGCCGCCTGCCTTTCACTCTCAAGCTCGTCCACGGGGATAGTGGCGGTCGATAGATTGCTATTCTCCCGCGTGTGACACGGTTCGCTTCTGTCGGCCGGGTTCCCGGAATCGTAAGGGATCTCCGCGTCGTGGACGATCATGATCGGCGGCTCCTCGGCAGCGGCGGCCTCCCGTTTTTCCTGCTGTTCGTTGCACTCCAACAAACCAGTCGCGGCGGGTCGAGATTGCAGGTTCGCCTTAATGCCCTGGGGGGAGCTGGATGAGCGAAACGTGACGAACGTCCTGCCAGCTTCGTTCGCTTGATCCGGCTTCAAACACGGCGTCGAGCCTTCCTTCTTCTTCTTCCTCTTCTTCCTCCTCTCCTGCGACCTACCGTTCGGCAGACCTCGCTCAATCTTCAAGCATCGACTCAATCCGATCTCTGGGTATCCGCAAACGGACGCTTCGCTCTTCTGATCGTCTTCCTCGATAGTCTCCAGGTGTTCGTACCGCAACTCGCCGACCCGTTCGTAAACCTCCGCTTCTTCTTCTTCTTCTTCTTCTTCCTCCTCCTCCTCCTCCTCCTCTTCTTCTTCCTCCTCCTCCTCCTCCTCTTCTTCTTCCTCTTCCTCCTCGCCCCCCTTTTCGTTTCGTTGGCCGAGCATAACCACTTCTTTGGGAGGCGACTTGCGATCGGATCGAGCGGCCGTCCCTCCTTCGCCGTAAGCGGAAACCTGCAAAGAAGGTCGAAGGATCGATTGGAGGTCATCCACGTGAATCACCTGAGGCTGAAGACTGCGCTCGTAAATCTTCTCCACGGCGTGATTCGGCGAGGAATAGTGAGACCTCGCGGGCGACTTGTCAGCGGGACCGGTCGACCTGCACTTGGCCGAATTCTGCTCGTTCAATTGTTGCAACGCCGCGTAAACCCGACTGTTGGGTTTGAACGTGGATCGAGGGGAGCCGATCGGCGAACGTTTCGTCGCCCGATCGTCCTTCCCCTCCTGGCAAAAAGGAATCTGATCCCTCCTCGGGAGAACCGGTGGCTTTCTAGCTTCTGGCGGGGCGATGCCGGCTTGGAGATTCCTCGGCTTCGTGACGCGGGATTCCTGGTGACCTTGGAGAGTCCGGACGCGGGCGCCAACGGCACCGTAAACCACCGCCGCGGCACTACCCTCCTGCCTCGCCTGATCCATTTTGTTTTGATCCCTCTTGCTATCCTGGGGATAGCACCTCCTGGACTCGGCCGATTCACAGCCCGTAACCCTGTGGATATCCCGCGTGGGTCGATCAGCGCCGCTCCTCGGAACCTCGATCGATTTACAGGCAACATCGGCTGGTTTATCACCAACCGTTCGCGATGAATCGGTCGCGAGAGCCGGCCGCCTACTTTCTCCGTCCTTATTTGGCGAGATCGGCTCGCCTTGGTCACCAAGGTTGGCCGGGCCCTTCGAGATGCCGCTCCCTCTGCCGCCTCTCTGGCCTGTCTCTTCCTTAACGAGCGGCCGCGTCGCGCCGGCCGCGCTTTGATCGTGACTCTGCTGCGACCGCTTGAACGACGCTTTCCTGCACGGGATGACCGAGCACGACGACGTCGACGCGATACTCGTGGTCCCCGATGTCGTCGAACCACCGCCGCCGCTTACCACCACCACCACCCCAGATATCCTCCCGTGATCGGACTCGTTCCTCGTCTTTACCAAATTCGTCGGCCTGGTGTCGGCCGCGTATCTCGCGCGACAGTTCTTTTCGCCCTGCGAAAATTGCGACGGCTGCTCCCCCCCGCCGCCCCCGCTGTCATCCGCTTGGCTCGCCTCGTTGGCCGACGAGGAGGGGGCGTCCAACCGCCTCGACCTGAAGCTCGAGCCCAACGGGCCCCTCTGCGGAATTCTAGAGGCGGCCGTCGAGGGGCTCATGTCCCTCGCTCTACCGATCGCGGCGCAGCTCGACGCGCTGAAACCGTAATCCTGCTGCTTGCCGCCGCTCTTCGAAGCGAGATACTCCTTGTACGTCCCTCTGCTAGTGTTCACGCCAACGTTCACCTTGTCCACGCCCGGCTTCCGCTCCACCTTCTTCTCCGCCCGGCTAAGATCGTCGTAACTCGACGAGGTCCCGTTCGACCTGTCCCTACCCTCGTCTATCGACCTCGACCTCGAGTCTTGCCTGTACCTCCTCTGACTCTTCTGATCCGCGCTGCTGTTCGACCTGGTCAACGCTTTCTCCCGCGCCCCGACGAAATTCTGGCTCTGCGTCTGGTTCAACCACTCGTCCACCCTCTTCTGCACCTCCCCCTTGCGAAGCAACACCTCCGGTACTCTCGCGCGGCCTGCGTCCACGGTCACGGGCACGCAGGACGAGGGACGAGTCCCGTCCTCAATCTTCTGCCTCGCCTGGATCGGCTCGCTCGCCCTCGCCACTGCTCGCGACCTCTCCCGCGCGGGGAGGCACTTGGGCTGCGTCCTCGACGCGGCCAACGCCGCTCTCGACCTCTCCTGCTGCTGCCGCTGCTGCTTCTTCCGCTGGTCCATCATCACGGCCTCGAAGTTGGACACGCTTATGCTCCCGACGTCGCTCAAATCCGACGACCTCCCGTAATCGAGGTCCTCGTACTCGTCCAATATGTTGTTCACCGATTGCGTGTCGATCGAGCTGATGCTCTTCGACTTGTTCCTCGCCACGCTCTCGTCGCTGCTCGAGCAACCGTGATTCTGCCTGTCCCGACTCCCTTGCCTGCTCGCCCTCCGATACTTCAACACGGCGTTCTCGTACCGTTGCAGAGCATTCTCCCCGCTCCCCTCGATCGCCTCGTTCCTCGAGCCGATCCTCCTAGGGCCGGGCGATTGCTTGTACTGCCTCTGACCGACGAACGTGCTCGCATTCCGTTCCAGCATCGACGACGAGCAGCTCCTTCCCTCTTGATCCATCCTCGACGGCCCACCGAACGTCCCCAAAGCGTGCGCTTCCTTCCGCGTCACCTCTGCCCGCGCGGCGCTCGATCGCGCGCCGCGATGCTCGAGCCCCGCCACCGTTCCATCCTCGTCCGCGAATGGAATGTTACCGCCACCGGTCAAACCCTTCAGGATCGTTTCATCGTTCATTTTTTCGATCGTTCTCGCATCTTCGCGTAATCGTAATCTCGTTTCTTCTCCCTTCTTAACCTGTTACGGACAACGTCATCGTGAATAATGGTACAAGAGATAAAAGGTACAAAGAGAAAATTCTTAATCGTAAGAAATCGTATTAATTTATAATTATTCCAATTGATAAATTAGATCGATCGAGAACTTTGAATATTTTTCCAACATTTTTTGGAATTATAATTGCATGATTTTTTGCCATAAAAATACACGTAATGAATGTAAAGTAGGGAGATATTCGAAAAGGGCGATATCTCTGAAAAATTCGAAGCGACTCTTCCGTAAAACGGTTCTCCCGTTTTAGGTTTCCGGTTAAGCGGCGGGCGCACGTTCTACCAATGCGGATGTATCCGGTAGTTGACCGATATCCGGTCGGAATTAATTCGGTTTTCGAAGCCTGGGACGCATTAGATATTGTAATGGCCGGCCACGTGCTCGTGCGTCGAATCGTTAAAGACCATAACGGCCGCTTGGAATTCAATATGCCTGGCCAACCGTTGCACGGTGAATATTGACTATCGTACAAGTATATTTGTGCTCGCGTCGAATATTTATATCGTGGATTAAATTTTCGTGGATTAATCGCGATTCACGGCAGCGGTAAAAATAAATCTTCGGCTAAATTGACGTTTCGTAAATTCTTACTTTGATGTTTGAGAAGATGTTAAACGAATATGACGCGGGCAGTTTGTCGACGATAAGATTAATTCGATGCTTTATTGAGATAAAGCTAACGTTTATTTTGAAAGAAAATCGTGCAACTTTTATTCTTTTTGATTATATTGTTCCATTTTAATAGTTTGCTTTATTTTTCCTCTTACGGAAAGGATGAATCTAACGTTCGAAAGTGTGCATCGAATCGTATGAAACGTTGAAACGTTGTATTCGTTATAGCGAAATAAAAAAAGATTTCTCATTTCGAGAAATAATTTTGTCGAAAGATTTGCTACGTTTCATACGTTCAATAAAATTCCCTTTTTTTTTTTTTTTTTCAGATTCATACTTCCACGAAAATAGATATCGACAAACATTGCGTTGATATATTTTTACGTATTTTCGTTCGAATCAGAATTACAAATTTAATTCAATTCTAGATTTTGCTCTCGATATTCCACACGTTGCATTTTGCAATTTCTCCCGCATCATAAATCATATTATCGATGAAAATCCTCGATCCACCGGTCGGAAAACAAATTTCTAATTATCTCCCAATAATAATCGCATACCGCAATTATTACCAAATTCATTCCCGAATTACATTCCACGAGGATTTCTAGCCGGAGGGCGTTGCTTGTCTCAGAATTCGAGGCAATTACGAACGAATTTCGATTATTAAATGGCGAGCAGGGATGGATCTAAAATCTAAAAGAATATATCCCGGATAAATATCGAAACGTGGTGCCCTCCCCCGAGATACAAGTTTCAATTCAGAGGATGACGTGCAGCGTAAATTGAATTAAAGCAACGTCCCATCGGAGCATTAGAGGCGCGCTCCACGCGATTCTAACGTTTCCCACGCGGCCTCGCCTCAAGGATCTCTCGGCCAGAGTTCTACTTTTAGATCTGTTCGTCGAGATATCGGCCGTGGGCCACCGCGTAGCCGCGAGATTCGTGCGTCGAGAGAGATTCCTGCTGCTCGCCCATGGCCTCGTTCTCTCTCTCTCTCTCTCTCTTTCTCTGAAATTGACCCACAATTAAGATGTCGGCCGCGTGCTGGCTCGAAAATGTGAGACGCTAATGTACAGAGTGATTCAGAAATAAGCGTCGATACTTTGATTTTTTAAATTGCGTGACGAGGTGGGGAAAATCTCTGATTTGGATTTATAATATTTTTTTAACGTTGAAAGTAAACGCGAATATGGTTTCGTGAAACGGATTTCAGATTACTTTAAATTACTCGATAAATTAGAGTAATTTGTATTTAGACAGAGACATTTGGAACATTCTTTGACACCGTTCGATCTTTGATTTGATTGATTCTCCAAAGCAATAGAATACTTCAGAGTCCAAATCAATAACAAATATGTCAAATAACGATCGTTTGGTTAAATTCGATTCGACACATAGTTGGATACCGAAAAAGTAATAATAATAAATACCCATTAAAAGTTAAAATTTCGAATAAAATGCTTAACAACAACATTTGTTCATTTGCTATTATAATTAATCCACTCTTCTATAGTATAACCACTTGGTGTTACAGTACTGTTCCATGTTTTTGAATGATAAATAATTGAACTAACTTTATTAAAGTAATTCTTTATTCTTAATTTCAACCGTAATTCAATCTTTCTCCGATCCAAACGTAACCTACAATAAATCATTTATAAAATTAGAAATTAAGATACACAGGAGGGCACCATATTTTTGTATATACTTGTCACTACTACTTGTCTCTTCATATTTCCTCCGCCGTATTCTAAATATATTTCTGAATCATCCTATATGTAACAGTCTCTCCTCCCCCATCGCGTTAACCAGAACCGCTAAACGAGCAACAAAAGCGTTTCTTTCGAGACAATGCGGTTCCAACGGGGCACAATGCACGGACCCGATAAATAAAAGGAAGGGGAAACGGAAGGGGAGAGAGGAGAGAACGAAACAGAAGGTTTCGCTCGTAATTATCATCTCGAAAAAAATACATTCCGCGCGGGTGGAACGCGACACGCCGAATGGCTGAGTTCCATCGCCAACGCCGCCACCACCGCAAGAAGGGAGAGAGAGAGAGAGAGAGAAACCTATTTTTCGGATGCATTGACCCGAATCTTAAATCTGCCTCTCTGGAACAGAGATTGCACACGTTGCAACGAAATCGGCATTTTCGTTTCGTTAACGAAATTCTTCACCCTCGTTCTCGATCCATACCCGTTTCCTACGTTTTATGAAAAAACGTTCTGGACACGAGAAATCTCTCGGAGATTCGATGATTAATTGCGAAATTTAATATAATTTAAATCGAACTCGCAACGAGATGATTTTCCACGGTTTCGAAGAAGTTAGCCGATCGTATAAGACGGTGTTCGTGTTATTAATTCTTCGAACAGCGCGATGAAATGGATACAGGAAGCATCTTTTTTATCAGGTTTTATTATCCAAGTAATTATATCATGAAAATTGAACGAGAGAAAAAAATTGAATACAATATGGATCGAAATATAAAGTTTAATAAAATCGTTTTCTAAGCCTCTACTATACGGAAAAACGAAACTCGTTTTTGCAGAAGAACGGATATTGGACAGGCAACGTAAGAAAGATCTGGAAAGTTAAAAAATATAATTAGTTCGAGGAAGGAGAAAGGAAAAGAGACAAGCACGAGTGGATCGACATATGGGTTCTTCAATTCGGCTTGGCATAATTTCGGTCCCAATTGATATCTACCGGGCCGGATCTCGATTGGGGTCTGCCGGAATCGAAGAGTTAAATCGCGATTCTCCTCGTATAACTGGCTGCCATTGAACGAAAGAAAAACTCGTGTAAAAAAAAAAAAACCGAAAAAATCCATGCTCGTGGCATACATTAGCATAAATTTCATTTCACATCATCGGGATGTAAAAATCCGCTAGACAATTTCGGTGTATATATACGCGAAGACCGGCCAACTCGAATAGACCGTGACGTGTGCACTCGGTTCTCCTCTGATTCTGACCGCGTAAAAAAGAGAGAAAAAAAAAAAAAAAGAAAAAAAGAAAAAATTTTTTTTAATCACCATCCAATGTTCACGAGCAATGAACATTGAAAAATATATACCGCACACGAGCGTTTCAGCTGTCTCGAGTTGTAATCGTTCGTATCCAATCGAACGATACAACTCGAGGGCTCGAGTCGACGAATCGTGTGGCAGCCGCCGGTACACAGGGACCACACACGAGTCGACGACTCGTGTTTCCTCCTCTCGTCTGCTCTCCCTCGCAACGACCGCGCGTATACGCGAATACTAATTACACGCGTGGTCTCGATACACTTTCTTTGCACGAGCGAGCACCGATCTTTTTTACGCTCGTTCGTCGATTCCGCGAAAGCGACGTACACACGCGTTCACTTATAATGTGATTCATCTGCGTACGTATCTATAGACGAATTATTATATCGCTTCTTCGTTCAATCACAGGAAAGGAAAGAACGATTAATTTTTCAAATTTTGCACATACCGACGATGGACGAACGGTGTTGTCGAAATTAAGGATAAGGAGACGAAGAGACGATTTGATGAGAAACCGTGTCGAGGAGAAGGGGGGAGTAGTATAAATAAAGATATCTCTGTCTATCGTGCGAGCATCTTTTACCCAACGTTATCCTCGCTTCACCGCTTCTTTGAACAGAGGGTTTTTGGACCGGTGCCAATAACAGTGGGACGCCACCAAGAGGATACAACTCTGGCTATCTCTCTTCGATTCATCGGTAACAATGTTGAAAAGAAAAAAGACAAGTCGCTCGCGCGCGAATCTTTTGTACTCGAAGGAACGCGAAGAGGCGTAGGCACGATTTCTCGACCGTGGCACCGTTTCGAGTTAATAATTAGTTAATAATCGTTGCACGCATCAATCGCGAAAACGCTCGTACGCATTAGCGATGGCTCGTTGAAAGTAAAACCTCGCTCGAGAGGCTTGTGCTTAAACCCTTTCTGACCCCTTGATTGATCAAACGACGAGACCTTTAACCTCTCGTTCGTTATTCTCTTTAACGGGTTATTCTTTTCGCATTTCGCTCCTTTTCTTGTTTTTCTATTTCTTCCTTCCTTCGCCAGTGATCTTTGAATTTGTTTTCAGGATGTAAAAAAAAAGAAAGAAAGAAAGATACACATTATAAATTGATCAAAGAGCGTTTCTTATTTTTCCGGTATCGGAATTATTCTTTTACTCGACGGTAGAATAATTGCTGTGGTAATATCTATCTCGCGATAATAAAAATATGAAGATGAAGGATAGGGCAGGTGGAAAAACGTGCGCAACGTGGAGGAGGTGATCGCGGTTTTGTCGAGCGTGATAAACGAATTTTCGGCACGTCAAATGAAGACTTCCCGCGCGTGAAAAACCTACAGATTAACTTCACTGTATCTGCTCGATAATGCTGAACCATTAATCTTTCTCACGGATTGACGCTCACCTCTCCACTCATTAGAGATAACGGTGCCTCTTACACGCCACTTAATCGAGCGCATATTTGTGCATACAGGCTAATTTTTCAACGAATAATTTCACGTGACGTTTAAACAGAATTGAAACTGAAAATATCGTAACAAGAATTTCTTATCGAAAGTTATTCCACTCGGACGAATAATTTTGTACAATTTTGTATTGGAACAAGATCGCAAGGAGCACCGATCGAAATATAAAGCAAGAGATAAATACAAACGCGCAGAGAGAGAACAAATTCTGTGGAAAAATTTTCTATTTATGTTTATCTTTTCATTCATTTGACAAACCTCTTTTACGAAATATTCCGTGCGTTCGATGTATTTGATGTCTCGCGAGAGACATCACGAGAGATCACGGATAAGATCGTATCTGCGCAACGGTGGATATTTTATCACTGTGTTAATTAAAATTATTATATCAGCCTGAATTTTCTTTTTATCCCGGCCACGAGGATATCAAAAGGCACGAGATTTCAAAAGGATTGAAATTTTCACGTTTGAATTTGCGAACGTTAAAAAGCGAAAAGGAGCACGTTTCGAATATCAATCATATCACAAAGACCCGCGATGTAACCGAGGTACTATTATACCGAAGTACGTGATACGGATGTTAATGAAAGAGAGGGGGAGGAGGAGAAGGAAAAAATATCGCCTCGAGGATATTAAAAATCGCACAGGTTTCAAAGTTGGAACATCCAACGTTCCAATATTCCCTCTTTAATACTCGTTACTCGAAGATTTCAATTTATAATGAGATGCAAAAATCTCCACGGTGATAAGCGTATCGATCTTTCTCCAATACGGATGAAATCGGATACGATCGGGATATTTCTCGCATCGTGTTTTTCCCCCGTAAAAAAAACGTAAAAAAATGCAATTTGCATAATATGTATAAAATTTTAAAACCGCGTTTAAAAATTACGACGAACGGACGAATTTGTTGGAGAACTGCGAACGGAACGCATTAACGAAACCCTCCTGAAACGAAGGTTCAAGAGGATCTCAATTTCTTGGAAACTCTAAGAAGCGCTTCTTCAAAAAAAAAAAAGAAAAAAAGAAAAAAAGAAAAGATCCCATTTGAATAGATGTATCGTTTCTGATGGACCGGCGATCTATACCTTGCGGATGGTATTCCAGTGGTTCTCGAGTGTACAGTACCTTCTGAAAACACTCGATGCCCTTTCACGATGTTCTTCTTCCCTACCCCCCACCACGTTCCTAAGCCGATGGGGCTATTCATGGCCCTGACAAGGCTAGCCTTTGAGGTGCATGACCTGTGCAACTGCACCACGACCGAGCCACGCATAGAAATGCCCCGTGAAACGATCGCTATTTCTGTTCATATTGCGTGCTCCCTTTGATCGTTACTCGCTATTTATCATACGCCACGCGTTACACTGTTACGCGCGGTCTGGTGCAATTAAGAAAAAAATATCCTCCTCTCCGCTTTGAGGACGCTTTTTCGCGATCGAATCTCGCGACACACCCGACCTGGGGATCTTCTCGCTGCAATTATTCTTTTTCTACTTTAAGTCGATGATTCGTAAGAACGAAAATGCTTGATCCTTCCTTGATTATTCGTTTCAACATTTTATAAATATTAATAATATTCGCTTCGTCCTTTTAAATTTTCCACGTAAATTTTTAACGAATATTTTCACGCCGGAACGTGCACAACCTTTCTCATTTTCTTTTCTTTTTTTTCTTCCTTTTCATTTTGGCCAAGGTTCTCGCCACGCGGGGGCCCGGATTCGTGGTCCGCAGATGGTCCAAGGCTCCCCTTTTCTTTCTCTCCCTTCTATTTTTCTCCGTACACCACGACCTTACGGAGAAGCGCGTCATTTTTTCGCTCGCGAATAAACCACGTGCTCGGTTCTGGCAACGGAACAACTGTTGCCAACTCGGGCGAGATATCGTGCCACCGCGATGCGAAACGACTTCTTTCTTCCAAGGGATCCTCGCTTATTTATATCCCTCTTTGCCTCGAATTCGGGCCGCGACGTAACGCGAAAAGTAATCGTTACGGGAAAAGAAAAATAGATTTATCCTCGTGAGAAATGTTTCGTAACGATGCCCGATACAACGTTTGAAACGAACACCCCGACAGATGTTTTAGAGCAGAATTAAAAAAAAAAAACATTTTCCATAGTGGTAGCGATAGTTCCACGACTGGGTCTATCCATTTTGAACGATTTTGAATCGGCCTCACGGCGAGAGCCCATCGTAATCGACTGGATTTCTTCGCCCACACCTTTTTCCATTCGGTTAAATATCTTAACTGTAAGGAGAGATATGGTCTCGGGAAGATATGGTCTCGGGGAGAGATAAAATTGAATTTCGAAATTAAGAAGAAGAGACTCCCATGGAAATCGAATTCTTGGCAAGATTTCGTGCAGCTACGTGTGATTCGATGATATCGAAGATAGATTTAGAAGAAGCTGGGATTTAACAATTTTTAATTCAAATTCATCTCCCTACTTCTCTAATATAATAAACACTGCTCGACTGCATTAATCTAATTTTTAGATACGAGGGAAACGAGCTAAATCTCTCGTTTATTTCTCTGCTGAAAATATGCTTCGAATATCACGAACAATCGCAAGATCCCTCTCTAAAAAGAAAAATCTATTTGCTTCCACCGATCGATTTCGAGCCAAAGAAAAATAAAACATTTTTCCGAATCTATTCGATCCACAATTTTCCCAAATTCGAACCAATTATATTTCCCTTTTAACCGTCGCGCTAGCTACGAGAACGAAGAAATTTTCGATTTCTCGCAACAGAAGCGCACCATTCTCTCGGCAGCCACTCGTCTTTGATCTCTTGTACCGGATACACTCGTTACGAGGCGGCTCTTTTCGAAACCCGCGCTCCGGCGCGGCAAGTGCATTCACACGAAGATAACCAACACACGGACGACGATCGTGGTTGGCCATCCTCGCCGCCATTGTCCAGCTCATTCGGTGGCCGATAATCGCGGAGAATATGAATCGAGCCGCGGTGAATGTTTGCCGAGCTTTATCGTATATACACGCGGCCACGCACGCTGCCGTTCATTGCGCGCCGAAGGGAGGGGAAGGAGGAGGGGGGAAGGGTTGTTCAGGAGGAGTCAAATCACGTTGGTAATTCGCGAATTTATACCAGGAATGAAATCATGGACGGGAAATGTTGCCGATTTATCGTTTGAGAACAAACGTTCTCGAATAAACGACGACACACTTTCGAACTTTGCGGGCAGAGAGAATCGTATTACGATTATTACGCGTTTTACGATTTATCGTTGTCTTTCGTGAAATTGAGTCTCGTTGAATCGTGTCAATTCTCTTTTGATTTTTTTTTTTTTTTTTTTTTTTTGAAATGATAAATAAGGGTATTGTAAAGTATTACGACATTTTATGGATAATTCGTAACGTTGCTTCAAGTTGCTGTACGAAGTTGAGAAGGGCAGAATTCGAAAAAGGACAACGAAATCAGATTGAGAATTTTATAACTCGCCTATGAGTGGAATTTCTTGTTCCAGATTATATTTACTCGAGTGCTTCTTACGTATTATGCACGAATGTATTTATAAAATGTAAAATCGTAATCTTATTACTACTCCTATAAACTTTGGCACGCAAAAAGACAGAAAGAGACGATCCAATGTCCGATAATATACATTCGAGAGACAAAGAAAATTTGATTTTACAAAATAATCCTACTTTCATTCGTTCGATTCGAAGAGAAATATGCGATAACTCGATGAATCAACGATCGAAGAAAGAAATTGACATTCGTGACACATTCTCACGAAACGTTAATTTTTTTCGTTAATTACGTCGGATGAACGTTCCAAACGTATTCATCTTTCGTAATCACGAGTCCGTGATATCAACTTTTAACACGATGCGTGACGATAAGTTACATCCGAAAGCGAGCTCGCGATAACTCATCACCGCGCCCATGAAACTTTTCTTTGTTCGCGTTTCACCGGCCGCCCTCGTGCGCCCATCTTACGAGCGTAGTACACCCACGCCTCCCGCCTTGTCATTCGATCTTCGCATCGCGCTGGAGGGGATCCTCTCCTCGGGCGCGTAGGTTTGCGTGAACGATAACCGTAGAAACGTCGAGAACTCTCCCCTCCGTATCTCTTTTTATTAATTGCCGCGACGCGAACAGCTGATTATTGCAGCCGCATCGCGTTCAATTTAGACTAAATTTCAGAACAAACCAATGTTTATTACGCGCATCGACTACTATTATCGAGATGTGTACAAACGTATTGGAATTTTATTTACAGTTTTTTCATATTTCGAAACCGAACGATCGTTGTTTCTTGGACTGTATTTAAATTCTAGGAGGGATTAAAAAAATATGGGATGAATACAATGTACAACAGGGACGACGACAGAGTTTATGAATTACACGTGTGTTTCTCTTTAGAAAGAGAAAGAAAAAGGAATCGATCGAGGTTTTATCTTAAAACCAAAAAAGATCACAATGGGCTCCATTAATCAGAGGGACGGATCTACTTTGGCTATTATCGGCGAGCACGTGTAAATGCAGGCGTGTAACGTACATACCTAACGCGACGAACCCGCTGGGAGAGGATCTCTTCCCAGTAATCGAGTGTGGCCACGTTATCCTGCCAATTTCTGGCTACACTTGGCGCGGCGTAATTTCGTCGTGGAATTAACCGGTGGAGCACGTTGCCAACCACTCGATGCCCACCATCGAATGATTCCTGATTGCGCGACAAATACTATCTCTATCCACTGCTCTCTATCGGCCCATCCTGTTGTCACAGGAATCATCCGCTCGATGAAAAAGCGCGCAACGATCCAACCGATTCCCTTGAAAAGGAAGCTTCTTCTTCCTTCTCTGTTCCTTGTCTCAACGCCTCGATCTCTCTTAATAATACAGCGCATACACTGGAGAATCAGAAAATCGTGACACCGTTCACCGAGAAATCACCAAATCTCCCATTTCATTTCAAAGGGTGGGGGGATCGTTTCGATCGTGGCAATAACACATCCTAACAGAGATTCACCGCGCACAGATCGCATTTCTTTCGTGACGGAGACCCGCACGATCAATCACCTTCTATTTTTGCGTTGCTGAGCAATCGTCTGGTCTGGTTAGATACTCGGAGAGAACTCGAGAACATCGTTCGTGGAACACTCGCGTTATTTATCGCGCCGCGCCTTCCAGAATAATTTCTTTTTACCAGTGGCAAAACTTCGTTTATTCGAAGAGCTCGAAGAGCCGAGTTCGCTCGGTTTCCTCGATACACCGCGATTTCTTTTATCTCGCCGCTGTGAGAGGAGCGAGAGGACGTCCCGTTGAAATATCGCCACCACTCTCTCGTCCTCGTAACTCTCTCCTTTCCGGGTTTCGCTCGTCGAAACTCGACCGACCCCCCCCCCCCCCTTCCTCTCTCTCTTTCTCTCTCTCTCTCTCTCCGCTTCCGTCAGTCGCACACGATTAATCACAACGCGACGACGAGCCGAGTTTCGAACTTTTTTCACGGGCTTCTCTAATTGTGAAACATCCCCGACTGTATCTGTATCGGGGACGACTGACAGTTCAAACAGTGTTATCAGCGGTGAACGAAGCGGTGCGTGGCGGGCTATCGCTCGATGCCACGCACGAAAAAAAAAACGCGTTGCGCCTTCCGTGAAACGGTCGTCCAGACCGTTAATCACCGCGCTCGTTCTCGGACCCAACCAGACTTCCGGTTTTTCGCGAGAGACTTCTCCCCTCCCTCCTCTTCTCCTCTCCAGGGATCGAAACCCTGATGAATCCCGATCCGGGGACGCGGTTCAGAGAAACGTACGAAGGGCGATTCGTCACGGACGAGCTGTGACCAGGAAGAGAATCGTAAAGCACGATAATTTATCGATGCGAGGCTGGGTATATATTGGTATAACTTAATGAGAAAGGGTCAATTTTTTTCTTATTGGGTCGTTAAGTGAGTCGTATGGATCGCTTGTAAACGATGATAGGCTGTAATTTCTTTTTCTTTTCTTTCTCTCTCTCTCTCTCTCTATCTCTCTATTTCTTAAAAGTCGTCGCGAATTGGTTGAGAATGTGTATGTGGGTTCTCGTCGGTGTGAAAGGAAGCCGAGGGAAATTTCGAGAAAGGCAGGAAGTTAAGAAATTTATTTTGCGGATATTAGGATCTATATTTCGACGATCGTCTATCTCGTCTAGACGCGTGATCGATAATTAATTAACGCGTTGCCTCCAATGGGATCGAATACTTGTTGAATAGTGAGAACGGATAAATTAATAATCTCTATTCAAATTAAGAGAAAAATTAAAAAAAAAAAAAAAAAAAAAAAAGAAAAGAAAAAGAACTCGCATACAATATTAAACGAAACAATTCGAATACAATATTTCTCGTAAAGAAAATTCCTTAAAGAGAACTCGATTAACGACCTAATAAATTTCCTTATTTTCTTCCTTTTTTCTTTTTTTTTTTTTTTATTTCCAAATGAATGGATGACGTCGAGAACGACGATAAAATTAACGATAACGAGAATTAGAAGAGAGGAGGATAGAAAACGGAAGGGGCCGGATAAGATTTGACAGCGTTACGATAAAAAAGATGAGAGAGAGAGAAAGAGAGAGAGAGAGAGAAACGGGCGACCAAGTTGAAACTCGGGGGAGACAATGAATTTTAGATTATGCCGCTCCACCGTTAAAAGACGACAGAGAGAGATTAAATAAGCTTAAGAAGCGGCGGGTATACCCCCTTCTTAAGAAATTACCCAAGAAAGATCTTGTAAGCGGGGGTGTGATCCGAAAGGGCGTTAATATAATTGTCCCTTAACACTCCCCCGTTACGTTGCTCGTGGCTCCCTCCCCGTATTTTTCATCCAGAGACGACGACTGTGAAAAATCCACCGTGGAAAACACGGCTCGTGACACGGCGATTCGATACACAACGGTGGTGTTCCGCGAGGAAAAAAGAAAAAAAAAAAAAAAAGGAAAAAAAAGAAACTGGAAAACGTATCACACCGGAGACCGACGCACACACCGACAAAACACAAATCTTGCGCGAGAGAAGGAATACGAACGAAACGACGAGAAAAAAGGGAAAGACGAAACTGAACTGAATGCTCGTAATTAAGGATGGAAGACGTTGTTTCGAGGAATCAATCGATGCCACCGAGAGAAATATATCGCTGTATTATTTTTAGATTTTTCATATTGCGTCTCTCGATATGGACACGGTCTCCACGATAGACGATGTTTATTTCACTGCACCCGTGGTGATATCGCGCGAAATTGATTTGCGGTTTGATATTTCGAAGCGATCGCGACGCGGCCGCGCGATGCACGACATCGATCCTTTCGATCGCGCTGGCGCGGCAAGACTGGCCGCGTGGATCGGGATCGTGATCGAGGGACGACAAACAGGAGCGGACCAACCGGTGGCTCCGGTTTCTTAAGGGCCCTTGCATCGCGCAGAAAAAAAAACGTTTTCACGTTTATCTCGAGTATTGCAAATATTAATACATTCAATCGAAGAAATGCGTTACTAAATGCGAACGATGAATCAAAATAAGGGTAAATGAAAAATGAGAATAATAATTTTTGAGAGAATCTGAGAAAGAAAGATCGTAAGATTTCGAAGGGAGTATTTTTTTTTTTTTTTGCACGATTCTCAATATTATTTTTCCTCCGCGTCCCTTCATAAATCCTACCTACTTCGCGTCCTCAATCTCACAAACGAAAATCCACGGCAAAGAACACTCTTCTCTCTCTTTCTCTCTCTCTCTCTCTCCATTCTGTATACCCGGGGAAAGACGAATGAATTCGGGGATGAAAAGATCACGCAACGCGCGAGGGTATAACGTTCAATTAAATTAATGAAACGTCACAATTCCATCCCATCCCTGCATCGATACCGAATAAAATTCACCCGACGCTCGATGTTTTAACGAAATTAAACTATCGCCGCTTGAGAACCGATAAGTCAACCAATATTTCCCGATACGTCAACATCGTACGTCTCGATGAACGCACACCTAGAAANAAAAAAAAAAAAAAAAAAAAAAAAAAAAAAAAAGAGAAAAAGAAGCGAAAAAACCAAAAAACTATAAAAATTCACCACTGAAACGTCTACGAATTCCTATTCCTTTTGCGTCGACGTGCGCGTGCGCGTGTGTCGTCCACTCACATCGGGCCGAAATTCCACGGTCGAAAATCAAGTTTGGCCACGCGGCCTCGAAATCCCTCCCGATCGGATAGTGACGAGCACGAGGAGGAACTCGTGACGAAACAACCGAGTTGCCAGGTAGTCGGGCCGGGGAATGTGGCGAAGAAGACTGGTTCCGATAGAAGACGGTACCCCAGCTGCGTACCACATGGCCACGTAGGTGCAGGTATGCGTGCACTCATACATCGACCCCCTCCCCAAGGTGCGCCACACAGCCGCACGCTCCTCGCAAACGTCTCCCTCATTAAGAAACTCGACCGGTCTTCTGGCCGTGTACCATGTTTTTCGCACACGGGAGAGCGCACGATCATCGAGTCGAAGGGCATCGTATAAGGTATGACGACGATACGATTCGAGGTCCCACGTGGTTTCTCTCCTATTTAATCTCGAGGTATTTTATTTTATCCACCACCGTTAACCATCATCGTTGAATTTCAAACCCCGTTCTTTATACTACTCTTCCCTACATTCCCATTTTTTTCTTCCTCTCTCTCTCTCTTTCTCTGCTCCTCTCCTTCTTTTTATGAAGTAGAAGGCGTTGAAGGCGTGGGGGGAGGATTTATCGGGTTCATTTTTTCGCAAAGATGTTAGGGCACGCGGGTGTGAAAGGAACGATTACATCGCCACGTGGGGAGAGCAGAGGGGAAAGGGGATCTTGGATTTATTGATGCATCGCGCGACAGGAGGGGGAGAGGAGGTTGGCAGAGGCGTGTATTTGCGCGAATAGGGGTGGATATTTCGCGTTTTTCACGCGAAGCCTATTCACAGGCGCAAGCTTGTTCCGCTTGCTCCTCGTAAAGGAGGTGCTGCTTTTTCGCCCGTGAATCGAATTATGAGCTCGCTAATATACCCTTTGCCGAGTAACTTTATCGCCTCCCTCTAAACGCTCGCGCTTCTTAATTAATTTCTCGCTTTCTCGGGGAGATCTTGACGCTGTCGTGTCCCTTCCGTGTCCATTTCGATGAAGGGACGAAGAAGGAAGTTTTACAGAAAGAGAGAGAGGAAACAGCTGTCGAGAGAAGCATCGGTCATAAGGAAAGATCTATCTTCCTCCAAACTTTTTCCTGCAATTTTGTATATTCGTATACACGCGCAAAAAGGCAAAAAGGAATTTAAGAAGAGAGAGAGAGAGAGAGAGAGAAAGAGAAAGGACTCGCAAAAACGGAAGTTAATCCGTAACGAAGAACTTTATATACGCGTTGCCTCAACTTCTTTCCCTCTGATTCCCTGGTTGGTAAACAGATTTTTACAAAACTCGAGAGCACAATTTTCCTCTCTAGCGTGTGTATACGCTAATATTTTCTGGTGTAGGGGGAGCGCGCAAAAAAAGCAGATGCCCTTCATCCACCCCGGTAAATCGCGCCAGCGGGTAGCTTTCTTCTCTCGAAAGGGATTCTCAACCACGAGCGTGGAATCGTTCACGAGAGAGAGAGAGAGAGAGAAAAAGAGAAAGTTTAAGGACGAGAAATGGCAAAACGACAAACCACGAGAACAAGTTCCCCTTTCCTCTACTTCCGGGAAACAAGCGCGTAGCTCGCCTCCTTTGTGAGAGAGAGATTCGAAGATCGGCGAAAGATAGGTTAGAAAATTCGAAAGGGAATCGGAGGAAGAGAATTTGAGATTACGAAGCGAAACGGTGAAAAGTTTTACCTTCCGGAATTGCTCGCAACTTCGTAAGCGAGCTTTTAACCGCGGAGTTGCTTCAAGTTTGCGCATTAACACGTTAACCACTCCGCAAATACGTGAAACTTCGCCTCGTGTCCGGCGACACTCCGGCAAATAAGCATCTCGAGATCCCCTTTCACGGGAAAACGTTGTTGCTTAGATATGCAAACCGATGCACGTACGGAACGATACATAGAAAGCGCATTTCGAGCGTCGAGAAGGAGGAAGAAGGGGAAACAACAACGAAAAAAAAAAAAGAAAGAAAGAAGAAGGAAAAAAAGGGGGAGAGGGATGGGAGAAGAGGAGAGGCGTAGACCGCCGGAGTCGATGCTCGAGAAAACTCCTCTGGCAAAAGTTTCGCCATACCATTCCGTGCTAAGGGATTCCGTTTGTCCCGCTTTCTCGTTCTAACGTCTCAAGTTTCTAGCTACGAAACTTCCGCGAATTCCGGTGGAACACCAATAACTGGAAACTTCTCCGCGCCATCCTCTCCCCTCCTCCCTCCTCCCCTCTAATTAGGTAACAAAATATATTTTCGCTGTTTCGCTAATTGCCAGCTACGTCGTCGTAGCCGTGGTAAACACCGGCCGGATGAATCATCGGTCTTTCGAGGTAAACACAAAGGGACGAAAGAACTCGGGAGAGGAGTGGGGGAACAAACGACGTACGATGTTTGTTGCGCTCTTGGCTCTATCTTTCGGTATCCGCTTTCCGGATCTCTCCAAAGTCTCGCCTCGTTCCCGATCTTTCCCAGTTTCCCCTGCTCAGAGCCGATTCCAGGGAAGGATACGCGTTGGATAGGTGTGCGGCTATTATCAGGTTTCGCGAGAACGATCCGATGTTGTGCGAATCTCGTTGCTCGGGGCGTTAATGCGGAATTCACGTCGGCAGCTGTGCGCAACGATCTAGCTACGATGTAGCTAGTTGGTAGAACGTTAACTGGGGCCCATTGCGCGACGCGCCTCGCGAATGTAAATGCGGCAATTCTCGATTGCGTGCCAGCCGCCGGAAGTCAACCGATCGAGATCGTGGATGAACTTGAAAATTTCCCGAGAAGCTTTTCTTAAGAAGCTCGAGAACCGGAATATGCTTCGACGGTGTCGACAATATCTCGTGGGACGCGAATTGCTTCGTGTACGGACTACTGTCTACTAAAGTAGATATGTGATTGGTAGTGATACAGTGATACGAATATATAAGTTTAAACGTGAATTCAGGAAAAGCGTTGCGAAGAAACTTTCCTTGTCTAACGAATTATATAGTTTCGTGCAATTAGGATAATATATTATGTCGATAATATATTATATATATTATTTACGCGTGTGAATTTTATCTGCAAATAAATACCTGAATACGACCGCAAAAGCGTTATCAGATTTAATTAGTTCTCGCGAAACATTGGATTTTATCCCGGAAACGGAGAACACCTATTGTGTAATTGAAACACAGACGAAAAAGGGAAATTAGGAGATTCGCAATCTCAAATTCGTAATTCCAATTCGATTCGAGACTTTTCTTAGAGAAGCTAACGAAGCTAACGGACGATATGCTTCGACGATGTCAACGATATCCCAGGTCTCGTGAGATGCAAATTGCTTCGTGTATGGACTATTATCGAGGTAGATATGTGATTGATCATAAGTTTCAACGTGAGTTAAAGAATCGTGAAAATTATGCAATTTGCAAAAAGTGTTGCGAAGAAACTTTCCTTGTCTCGAGTAACGAATTATATAATTTCGTCAATTAAGAGTCAATCTGTATAATATACGCGTGTGATTTTATTTGAAAATAAATACTTAAAAAGTGTTATCAGATTTAATTAGTTCTCGCGAAACATTGGATTTTATCCCTGAAACGGAGAACACCTATTGTGTAATTGAAACACGGAAAAATTAGAAGTACAGATTCGCAACTTCAAATTCGTAATTCCAATTCGATCGTGAAATTATTCGAAAAGTTTCGGCGACTGCGTTTCCGAAAAGCGAAACCGATCCATTCCAGCCCGCCGCCTATCGTCGAAACTTCTATTATAAAGCGCATTGACCGTCGAATGGAACGGCTAATATCTAGATAAATGTGCGGTTTCGAACGTAAAATTATAGGGGACGGATCGGCCAATGACGCGTATTCACTGGAACCGGTTCCCGGATGCGAAACAGAATCTTTTCGGTCGACCAAGGGCCTCGCCTCGCTCAGAAAGATCAACCCTGCTGTTCTCTTCGTTATTAATACTTGTACCGTTCATATTTATTTGACAAATAAATTTAAAATCCTTCCTCCGTGACAAGTAGCGCAATCTTATCTAATCTAATTCGTGCGAAATAGATTTTAATTTGTAATTGTATAAGATAAACACAAAGATATACAGATATCTATTAAAAATTTTAATATTTTCCTTTTCTTTTGATTATAACGTTATTATAGAATATTAGCGTATGTGGAAAAAAGTCACAAG